CCATTTGTCTATTGATGGACACTTGGGCTGCTTCCATAATTTAGCTATTGTAAATAATGCTGCAATAAACATATGGATGCATACATCTTCTCAATGTTTTTGTATTCTTTGGGTAAATTACCCAGTGGTGGAATTACTCAGTATTTTTAATTTTTTGAGGATCTCCATACTGTTTTCCACAGTGGCTGCACCAGTTTGCATTCCCACCAGCAGTGCACCAGGATTCCTTTTTCTCCAACACTTGTTGTTTCTTATGTTTTTCTTTTCTTTTTTAAGTTTATTTATTTATTTTGAGGGAGAGAGTGTGTGAGTGAGGGAGGGGCAGAGAGAGGGAGAGAGAGAGAATGAGTGGGGGACGGGGGGGGAGAGAGAATCTCCAGCAGGCTCCACACTGTCAGCACAGAGCCCGATGTGGGACTCAAACCCATGAACTGTGAGATCATGACCTGAGCTAAAATCAAGAGTTGGGCACTTAACTGATGGAGCCACGCAGGAGCCATGCAGAAGCCCCTCTTGTGTTTTTCATTTTAGCCATTCTGACAGGTGTGAGGTGATATCTCATTGTGGTTTTGATTTGCATTTCCCTGATGATAAGTGATGTTGACCCTCTTTTCATGTGTCTGTTGGCATCTATCTTCCTTGGAGAAGTGTCTGTTAGTGACTTCTGCCCAGTAAAAACTGGGCAATTAAAAAATGGGATTATTTGTGGGTTTTTTGGTCTTGAGTATATAGGTTCTTTATATATTTTGGAGCCCTTATTGGCTATATCATTTGCAAATATCTTCTCCCATTCTTTATTTGTTGTCTTTATTTCACTGATTGTTTCCTTTTCTTTGCAGACACTTTTTTTTAAGTGTATTTATTTATTTTGAGAGAAAAGATGGAATCAGGGGAGGCAGAGAGGGAGAGAATCCCAAGCAGGCCCCAAATTGTCAGCACAGAGCCTGACATGAGGCTCAATCCCACAAACAGTGAGATCATGACCTGATTCGAAACCAAGAGTCAATGGCTTAACTGACTAAACCACCCAGGTGCCCTAGAAGCTTTTTATTTTGATAGTCCCAATAGATTATTTTTGCTTTTATTTCCCTTGCCTCAGGAGACATATCTAGAAAAATGTAGCTACAGCCAATGTCAAAAAAATTATTGCCTCTGCTCTCCTCTAGAATTTGCATGGTTTCAAGTCTCACATTTAGGTCTTTTATCCATTTTTAGTTTATTCTTGTGTATAGGGTAAGAAAGTGGCTCAGTTGTATTATTTTTGCATGTAGCTGTCCAGTTTTCCCATTTCACCATTTGTTAAAGAATCTTTTTCCCATTGTATATTCTGGCCTACTTTGTTGAAGATTAATTGACCATATATTCATGGATTTATTTCTGGGTTTCTATTCTGTTCCACTGATCTATATATCTTTTTTCGTGTCAGTACCATATCGTTTTGATTACTGTAGCTTTGTAGTATATCTTAAAACCTGGGGGTGTGATACCTCCAGTTTCTTTGTTCTTTTTCAAGATTCCTTTGGCTACTCATGGTCTTTTGTGGTTCCTTACACATTTTAGGATTATTTGTTCCAGTTCTGTGAAAAATGCTGTTGGTATTTTGATAGGGATTACATTAAATCTCTGGATTGCTTTGGATAGTATGGACATTTCAACAATATTTGTTCTCCCAATCCATGAGCATGGGATATCTTTCCATTTGTTTGTGTCATCTTCAATTTCTTTCATCAGTGTTTTATAGTTTTCAGAGCACAGGTCTTTTCACTTCTTTGGTTAAGTTTATTCCTAGGTATTTTACTATTTTTGGAATAATTCTAAATTGGGCTGTTTTATTAATTTTCTCACTACTACTTCTTTATTAGTGTATAGAAATGCAACAGATATCTGTATATTGATTCTGTATCCTGAAACCTTACCAAACTGATTTATCAGCTCTAGCAGTTTTTTTGTGGAGTCTTTAGGGTTTTCTACATATAGTATCATGTCATCTGCAAATAGTGAAAGTTTTACTTCTTCTTTACTGATTTGGATGCTTTTTATTTCTTTTTCTTGTCTGATTGCTGTGGCTAGGACTTCTGGTACTATATTGAATAAAAGTGATGAGAGTGGATATCTTTGTCTTGTTCCTGATATTAGGGGGAAAGCTTCCAGTTTTTCACCATTGAGTATGATGTTAGCTGTGAGCTTTTCTTACATGAATGCCTAGAATTTTTGAAAGCTTCTCTGATTATTCTATAGGCACCAGTGTTTAATAACCATTTCCCTACCATCCCCTTTAAATTGTCATGAGGACATTGCCATAAAACATCTAGATGCAGTTTAGAAGAAGCAGGCATCTATTTTCTTAAACCCTTCAGTCCAAACCTTGATCAAATATCAAATATCAGCTAGCTCCACAAGATTAGGATTGGTTTTGTTCACCAGTGTAGACCTACTACCTAGAACAGAGCCTGGCACATAGTAGGCATTCAGTAAGTACTTGCTGAATTATTGAATAGGTCTGCAATCAGTCTGTCGCAGTTGTGTTCAAGACTTTCTTGTCGGGTTGTAGATGTCACTGGTCTCATTCTGGAAAACACATGAGGATAGCAGTGGGACTCTGAGTTATTGGTGCCTAACCCCAGAGTCAATCTCCAGGATGGCCAAATATGTGTTGACCACATCAACTTAAGATGGGTAGGTTTTCCTAATGGTATTATGCCCTTATGTCAATAATAGGATGGATTCCTGGGTTATAAGGACCAGTGGAAATATGTCTGATGGATTCTTTTCATGGAGAGTAAGACTACTTAAGGATCTACTCATACTCTGATTTCTGAAGTTAAAAACTGGGTCTTCCACAAACATCTAACTCAAGTCAGTTTCTGCAAGATGATGTCATCAGCCTCTTACAAAGGATTATGAAAGAAAAGTGATCAATGCTACCTGAACACAAAGTCCCAGAAGGAAGATTTAACTGAAAAAGTATTTACCAAGCAATTTTGAAACATCTTTCAATTCCTGTCAGAATGCCTCAGAAGTATCCAGAGAGGTGGGTTAGGTGGATAGATCAAATATAGACTATTGTACCATAGCCCCCATGCAGTGGATCACAAGCAAATAAAGCTCACTTTTAGAAGGGCTGAGGTCCTGGCCAATTTTCTGCTCTGCACTGGCAAGGACAGCAAAGTGGGTTTTGTCTTTGGTGATATGGAAGAGAGAACTAGACAACAGTATGTATCGGTCACCACAGGTCAGAACCAGAACCCAGGATAACTATGATCCTGACAGCATTCAGGCTGGCAAGATCAGACTGACCAAGAGTCAGCATGATCAGTGAATCAGGAATCTGGGGTGCGGGCTGCAATTTGAACTTTTATTTCTCTGTTTTGTGTGCGGGGTACCAGGGGCATATTTCCTGCTCAACGATAAGATTCTTATATAACCCTTGCCAGGAGAGGTTATCAGGAAGACTGAAGTGGCAAAACTGGAAGTTAGAGTCTGACTCTAGGTTCTGCTGTTTCTATGGGGTGAAGCTCTTTAGAGTTTCTCTTTAGGCCTAAACCATCAAAGCCTCATCATAGTTCATTCAGCTTCCTCAGTTATAAAAGAGGACCCTTCCTTTAAAGGTGTGTGTGTGTGTGTGTGTGTGTGTGTGTGTGTGTGTAAATGAGTCAATGTACAGAAAGTAATTAGGAGAGTGCTTGGCACAAATAAGTGCTTAATACGTGGTAGCTACTGTTACTAATTAAGTTGTGCTGCTGTTATTTACTGAGCATCTACTGGGTTCTAACCATGTGGCAGGTGCTGCAACATTAGATCTAAACATGGTTCAAACCGAGAAAGGAAGCCCTAGATGCTGGTCACTCCTAAAAGGCTTGTCCCCTGGTTGTATTTCTTGCAGGTAAGAATTGGTTACCTGAGTGATCACCTTCTGTTTTTGATTCCTCTCACACATCTCCCTTTTTTCTGATCAATGGGCCCTGTCTATGAGTGTTGTATGTTTCCAGAATCCCCTTTTCCCCTAAATCTGGACACAGGGGAACGGGAGAGATGACCTGTGAGTGATAAACACAGTGGTTCATAGGAAGGTCTAGTGGAGGTGATCCAGGTGGGTTTCACGGAGCGAGTGAGGGATGTGAGTGTGTTCTTAAATATGAAAAATAGTTTTAAAAGAAAAGCTTAGGGATATAAGTAAAGGAACAGTAGGCCCACTAGGTGTGGTTGGAGGGATGGCAAATGGAAATCTCCACCATAGGTAAGATGTTTGGAGTTTCCCCCGTAGCATTCCCTCAACTGGGACTCTTAATCTAACAGGCACTTGCATGGATAGCTCTTAAAATTCTATTGGCAATCCTGTAACATAAGAATTCTTTCTCCTCTTATTTATGTTTTAAATGAGGAATTTGACGGTCAAAAAAGTGAAGTGACTTGTCTAAGGTCAAACAGTTAGCAGGCGACAAAGCAGCTTTGAAATTTGGGTTATGATTCCAAATCCAGAGGGCTTTTGCACAACATCATTATTGGCCCGGAGCCTAGAGAAAACTCCGGGGCTGTTATCATTATTAGCATTAACTATTTAAAAGGAGGGAAAAGTAAGGGTTACGTGAAGGTGTTTTCAATGCGGAGGAAGGGTTCTCATTCCCAGGCTGAAGGGGAGGAGAGGGTGAATCTGTTAGAAAATGCATTACTGGGTCTTGAGCCTTCTAAATCTGCCCCGTCCCACCTCTTTGGCCTCATCTGGTTGTCTGTGTTAAACCAAAGCTGAGGAGAGGAAGCTGCGCACGAGGAGAAACCACCTGTTGTGTGCGGGGAGGAGGGGGGCGCTGTGTAGACCCCTTCCGTCCCCGCAGTGCTCGCCCTGGGTCCACAGCCGAGCCGCTGGCCGAGACTCCCGCGAACAGCTGGACTTTGGAACTCCGCCCCCTTAGGCCCTCCCTCCAGGCCGGCACCCCGCCCCTCCTGCCCAAGGTGGCTCTGGCTCCCAGAAAGAGCGGCGGCCGCGCTGCTCGGAGAGGACGGCGGGCCGGCCGGGAGGAGGGAGGGAACTGGCTCGCGGCCGCGGCGCTGAAGTTTCCTGCCCGCCGCGCTCCCACCCTCTGCTGGAGGCCCGGGCCATGCCGGAGCGCTGGGGTCGAGCGACAGCATGAAGGGCGGCGACCGCGCTTACACCCGAGGTCCCTCTTTGGGGTGGCTCTTTGCTAAGTGCTGCTGTTGCCTCCCGTGCAGAGGTGAGTAGCGGTGGGCGTTCTCGCCTTCTTTTAGCAAAGACCGGGACCGCGGGGCGAGGGGCATAGGGAGGGGGTGGGAGGGCCGGCCAGGGGGGTCGCGGCAGTTTCCCTAGCCGAAAGCGGGCTCGCTCGCGGGGAGGTTCGGACTCGGAGGCAGAGCTGCAGTTTGGCAACTCAGCTACTTACTTGTCAGCGACTTTGGATGTCAGGACTCCAGCCTGCCGGGGGGGGGGGGGGGGGGGAGTGGATGAGGGGGGATGGGAGGAGGCCCTCGGAGCTGGGCGTCGCAGTAGTGGCCGAGTCGCACTTCCCTCATCTCATTTACATATGGATCTCAGCTGAGGGATTAACGAGTGACTCCTAGCTATAGGAATGTATTTGACACTTGTCTCTACACTAGGAACTATTTTTGCCAAGTGACAATTTTCTTTGGGGACTGGAGCGGGCTTTTCTTTGCCTGGGCTTTCGCAGGCCATCTGGGTGTGCAACTCTGGGCCGAGCTTGGCTCGTTAATTAACCAAGAACTCTCTATGTACCCAATTAGGACTCTATTTAACTATTCTGCTAATTTTAATGTTGTTGAGGAGATTGCAGGAAGCAACCAATTTCCCCCAAATCAGCCCGCAAAGCAAAATGGTGAGAAGGGTCACAGAGAGGTCTATCAGCTGTGGAGCCTCACCTGAAAAACAAATCGGGCCCTTCCTAGACAGAGTTGGCATATGTTCCTAAAACTGTCCCTGTCACTTTAACACTTCAGCTTGGAGGCTGGGGGAAGAGAGATTTTGCTTATGTGTGGTTACATGTGAGAATATAGCCTCTCGCTCGACATTTTCCCTTTTTAAATTTCACCTATTGGACCTCTGGCCTCCACCCTCATTTGTAGCACCCCAGTCCTCATCCTCATCTAACAAAGTCCGACGGAGCTTTCTCTCTGAGTTACTGGTAAATAAACTTCATTCAAGTAACCCTTCATCATCATCTACACCACACACAGCAGAGCCCTGACACAGTCCTCATCCTGAGCAGATCTAAGGCTACAAAAACTAATTAAACCTGAAGGACTTTTCCCAAGTCATTAGGGTTCATAATGCCAGTATTAGGTTCTCAATCTCTGCATTTAATCAGAACGGGCTGACACTGTGTGGTGGGCAGCTCTAAAAGCCAGAACTCAGACGCAGAAGGGATCTTAGAGACCCAGGGACCCTCCCCGGCATCCAAGCCTAGTTCAGAAACATCCAAAACCAAGGCTGGGAATTGAAGGAAGGGGACATTAGAAAGGAGAGAAAGCAGGAAATGACCAAAGGGAATCTGAGTGGGTGGGTTTGCCCTGCAGCCTGGGCTGCTTTCGTGGGGAAGGGTTTCCATGCAGGATTTCTTGGGAGCCCACTTCCTGTGAAAAGGCAGAATTCGGGAACTTGGGCAGTGCTTTTCTAAAGCCCCTGCAGCTGCCTGCTTGAATCCAGATGTGTGGGAGCCCCAGCTTCCCTGCAGAGGAATTCTCCTGGGGTCTCTCAGTGCTTTGCTTTGCATATTGCCCTGGCTTCCCCTCCAGCTCCCAGGCCCCGGAAGTGGGGACGGGGGTGGGGGGAGCCCACCTCCTGCCTGCAGGACTGGGAAAGCTGTGGCTGCAGGCTCTGTGGCTGGCAGAGGGGGCGTGGGAGGAAAGGGGGTGTTGCAGGAGCCGGAGCCGGAGCCAGAGCTGGAGGACACCACTGACCCTCAGCTGAAGATGGAGGGAAGCCAAAGACCCAAGCAGTGAAAGCAGCATAAAAAGAGAAAGGGGAGTAACGGAGGTGGATGCCGTGTCACCTTCTTCCACTTTACTCCTTCCTAGATGCGAGACATGTGACGATGGCAACCTGGGGCTTGAATCTGAGGGAGACGGGAGGGGGAGCTGAGATAGCCACCCTTTAAAGAACTTCTGGCCTCAGTGGGGGCAGGGTGATTGTGTCTGAGGTATGGGGCACTATCCCAGGCTCCCTCGGTCGGTCGGCTCCAACGGAAAAGAGATCTGACTCCCTGCCCAGACTGGAGGCATCTATTCGGATGCAGATTGCAAAGATAAGGTCTTGTACTGAGCCTGAGCGCCTTGCTCAGTTGCCACACGGAGCAGGCCTGAGGGAAAGCCTAGAGGCTGGCTGGAGTGGAAGGCAGCGCAGCCAGCAGCCAGGGACGCTTGGCCTCTCTTTTCAGCTGAACCAGTTTCTCTGGTTGTACAGATTGAATACAATCGAAAGGCAGCTTCCCTTTTAAATAAAGGCAGCTGGCTATTTGGCCTCTGTCTCTACTCCTGAGAGAACTTGGCTCTCCTTCTGTTCCAGTAGCTGCACTCTGAAGCTGGTGGCTCAGAACCCACTACTATGGTTCCCAAGTCAAGGGGCCTTCCTAACCGGCTGCCGGTCACTCAGTAGTCAAAGGACTGAGGAAAATCTAAGAAAAGTCCTTCTAAAGTCTAAAGAAAAGAGGGCGTGGAATGTTCTGGTTATTTTTGATCGACCCAAAGCTAAAGGAGGCATCCTGGACTTTCTCTGGTGAATCCTAAATGGCTATAATTGTTAGCACGAGGGTAAGTAGTCAAGGTTTTAGTGAAATACCTCTGTGGCCTGTAAATATCGTATTTGAGAAAAATGTGAGTGAAATTAGTTGAGCTTGTCTCTTGACTTGGAAAAGTGAAGAAAGCAACTATCTGTTTTCTGGTTCTTGGCTCTACTGACTATGAGTATGGTAAAGGGGTTTGATGCAAGGTGATCTTTCTTCCCTACCCAGAACCTGGTGTTGGAGAGCAGGAAAACTGAAGACCAGGGAAAGGCTGGAAATAGAGATCAGGAAGAAAGACAGCAAATACATTTATAACTGCCTTTTTGGAAGTGAAAAATAGCCACACGTGAGATAATAGCATGTGCGTGTCTGAAAGCTGATTAATCATTGATGTCACACTTTGTGAGAAATTTCAGGATTGCTCTGGCTACTTAGACTTTCCTTTAAGCCTGAAGAAGTGGGTCACTTCTGGATTCTTCTTCAGTTATCTTAAATTTTTAAAAAGCACCTTGTTTCAGAGACAAAAAAAGGAATTCAAATCACCAAGATGTTGCTAAGTTCTGTGTTGCAGACTGAAATTTGTGACTTCTTAGATCATGGAGCCTAGAAATTCTTTGACCTTGCTAGATGGGAGCCAGTTAGAGCCTTTAATTTTCTAGTCCACTTGTAATTAACTTTGAGTATGTGGACAAAAGTCTCCTTCTTGGAAACCCTTCCTGGTGACTGTCCTTTCCTGCTTCTCCACAGTGTGCACAGGATTTATTTATGTTTGTTTATTATTATATCACTGTCCTTGCATCCCAAGCCCTCCTGCCATTGTGTGTCCCCATTTATGCTGCAAGTGCCCAGTTCAGGAGTCTGACTATCTCAGAGGTAAAGAGAGAGAGGAGAGACGACTTACACAGACTGAATCAGCTTACAGGGGAGATGCCGGGATCACATTCCCAAGGCTTTTCCTCCACACAGGCTGTTGGGTTCCAGCTTGACTCTGACGTCATGGGGCCTGGGCAAAAGCTGTGGGGCCTCACAGGGCATCCCACGTCATCCGCATCTGTTTTTCTCCTACCTTTTCCCAGAATCACTACTCAGAGACCTTATGACGTGATGTGAATGTCTCTTCTATGGCCCATAAATTAATACAGTTCATTTTATAAACCGAATTTAATGTGTGAAAGCATGACATCAAGTTCCTTTAGAATGGTGCTGGTAACCTCAAAAAAAAAAAAAAGGGGCCTTGTAACATTCACTATTACTGTTTTAATTCACCACTCAAGGCACAAAAAAATCCTTGGGACCTTAATTCACATACCCTTTCATTCCTTCATCTTCTAGGAAGTGCCTGTATCACAAATAAAACTGCATCAACCATTTAGCATGTATGTTTTTCCAGTGTCTCTTTTGGTTTTTCTGCCTCCTGAGGAGATACCCTAATGTAAGGAGAATTCTCATACATGCCTACTCTCCCCAACCCAAATCCTGTGTTTCCCTTCCCCTCTTTGACTCTCTGACTAGGGACTAGGAAGAAAGACATCCATGATTACCTGGATAACAGTACTTACTGCCCGTTGTAATGTCCCTAGTAGAAATGGGAGTGTATGGGTTTGGTAGGATGAGGTGGAAATTGGAAATGGAAGCCAAATATCTCTGCCCCGTCCAGTACAGCTGTAGGTCCCATAATCACTGATAATGCTGTAGGCATCACCCCCATGGGTCCATGTGCTACAGGTTGGTAAGTCCTAACATGGGATAAAAAGGTAAAAATTCAAACTCTGAAATCATATTTCTATGCAAAATGATTTTAAAGTTAAAAAATAATGGGCGTCTGGGTGGCTCAGTCAGTTAAAGATCCAACTTCAGCTCAGGTCATGATCTTGCGGTTCGAGGGTTCGAGCCCCACATCAGACTTCGGGCTGACAGCTCAGAACCTGGAACCTACTTCTGATTCTGTCTCCCTGTCTCTCTGCCCCTTTCCCACTCACACACTCTCTCTCTCTCTCTCCCTCTCTCTCTGTCTCAAAAAAATAAATGAACATTAAAAAAAAAAACATTTAAAGTTAAAAAATAAAAGTGAACATTGGGGGTTCACTTCTGAGCCCTGTATTATAGGCATATCTTGCGCTGGAAAAAGGTTAGAGATACTCTACTCCATGATAGTTCCCCTCGAGAATCTTGATGCTGTTCTCTTCTGCCCTAAAAACATTCCTTATCCCTTGAAGTACTGCTCCTCTTTCAGTGAGTAAGTGGCTGCCCTCTCCTTCAGACCAAACCCCAGATTTTTCCTGAAGGAGGGCCCTACCAAAAGCATAGATCTAAAACGAGAAGGAGGGCTGACTTCTTGAACAGAAGGGTCTAAATCATGGAAAGTTAGGGATCACTGAATAGGTCTGTTATAGAGGAGGAAGCTGAGATACAGCCACTCAGTAACAGGTCAGAACTAGAGCCCTTTTCCTGGGCTCTTTCCT